TCCCCTCCTTGAGGCTCACAGTGAGGCTAAGATTTTCCCACATTGCCTTCAGTCTTTTGCATGAGCCTTCATGGAGGCCTGGGAAGAAAAGCCTGAGACGGACAGTTCATGTTGTGTTTGTGGCTCCCTGCAACCAGGGTTTCTATACCCTCATGCTATTTCACATTCAGCATCTAGCAATTCATTAAAAATTTGAGCCAAATTCTTTGTGTCCACTTGTATGGTGGCCCCATCTTCCTCTTATGCTCTGCCACAGATAAACCAGTGCTTGACTTTATAATATTTTGGCTAACTGCCTGCGCTACAACCCAAGCTCCCTGACGTACTCAAAAAATGTTTGTAACTTTACAGATTAAATGGCTTTTTCTATTTGTTATGGTGGGAATAATGTTCTTCCTGACTTTCTATATCCTAGTCAGAAATCTGTTTTGGAATGACGTCTACTTTCTATGATGGTCGTGTTCTGCTTTGCACACTTCGGACAATATTGGTTGAGAATGAGAATCTCATAGGATCATTCTCATAGAATCATTTTCTAAGGCTTGACTACAGTATCTAGTTTATAACAAACTGAGTTATGATTATGCTGTGAATTTATATGAAATTACTTTGTCAAATTATTTCTAAGCACATTTGATTGAGTATTCTTTTGTGGTTAAAACCAGAACCTCATCCTTAGATAGCTAATGACTTAGGTCATGATCCTGTCTGTCGTTTTCTAGCTTAGTGATCTGTGAGCAAGTCACTGGACCTCTTTGTTCCTCAACTTCTCTGTAAAATGAGGATGCTGAGCTAGTGATTTCTGTGGTCCACAATCTACTCTAAGGTCAGTGATGCTATATTAATCCCCCTTTATCCACATAATTGTTGTACAGGTATTCTGATTTAACAAAGAAGCAATTCAAGAAGAAGCCAATGTTATAAACTTTGGCGCTGAATTCTGAGTACAGCAAAGTACTGAATTGTGGAGCTTGAATTTGTTCTTGAAAGAGAGTGATGGTAGACCAAAAGAAGAAATAGATGGTATATTTTCAGCATGTAGAATTCTAATCCAAAATCGCGTTGTCTCTGTCTCTTGCAGAGGGCCTAATTTAGCCACTCTTTAATAGGCTGGATAAGTCACACGCTATTGAGTATATAACTCAAATTATTTTAATAATCATCGTGTGTATGTGTATGAGAAAGGGGAGAGGAAGAGAGAGGGAGAAGCAGACAGACAGAGACACACACACACACACAGGTACGGGCTGTTAAAGAGCTGTGGATTTGGTATGTCTGAGCATCTAAAGAGTTGGAATAAGATCTGAGGTCTCTCACCTTTAACATCAGCGTCTGTTACTGTGTCATGTTCCCTATGTAGGAGTTGCTACTCCCATCACAGAGTTGCTTTAAAGAGTGAGTGCCCTTTGGCTCAAGAACTTTTTAAATGTTAGAGTACATGTTCTCTAAAGCTATCTTTACTGGAGGGCAGGAAATTCAGCATAAAGTTTGGAATCACATTTCATAGAATACAGACCTTAGAAGTATAGTCGCCTCTTTTTTTTAATCCAATGGTTCTGAATAAGAGAGGGCATCTCACTAGCTACATAGAAAGTATAAGAAAGGATTCTTGACCAATGTTAATCCCATTTCGGAACACCTGTAATACTTATATATTACTCAAGTGGTTTAATTGATAAATTAGTATAAATTGACTTAAGGTATAAATAAAGTTTTCATATTTCTACCTCTTAAATGCTCAGCAAATGAATGTTAGGAACATAAACACTCAGCAAATATGTTTTAAAGCTTAATTTTGTTGAGATTTTTAACCTTCTTGACAATTAGAGCAGTATCTTCTTTATTTTAAAATAAATGTCTGTTGACCAACGATTGTTCCAAGCATTTTTCTAGACACTGGAGAACTAAATGAAACGGACAAATTCCCTGTCTGCACGGAGCTGAAGACATGTGATAAATAAACAAAAACATTCAAATGGTGAGAGATTCTATGAAAAAAAAGAAGAAACAGGGTGAGGGAGTCTAGACAGTCACTCAAGAGGGGTGTGCCTTATTTTTATACAAGGAAGTCTTCTCTGAATAAGTAACATCTGAACAGAGAGCTGATGAAAATAAAGGAGCGAGCCATGAAGATCTCTGCAAGATAGTTCCCATGGTAATATTGTACAATTGCACATATAATATGATAAAATATTACATTGGATTGAATTCATGAATATTAATAGGCTAGAAAAGGTTGAGGTTATTGTGCTATCTCTGTTTGCTCTTGATTAGGAATTTGAGATAATTTGTGAAGAAACCCGCTTTTCCTGTTTCCCGGATTCAGAGACAATAGACATTGAGAATTTGTTTCTTAGGAGGCTGATCTTACTAATACGACTCCCAGTGAGCAAGCCTTTTCTTTCAGAAGGTTGAGATTATCTGAGAGGTGAAAATATAGCTCCTGACACACTGAATTCAAATGGAAAAAGTAGTAGAATGAAAGAAAAGGGCACAGTCCCGGATAGTGTATGAGGTGGGTAGTATCAAGTGGAAAGTAGAGTAAGCAGAAGACTTGCTTTAAGGATCCCAAACAAGAAAACAAATTCAAACAGAGACAGTGGGCTCCAAGGTGTGACAGCTAATTTACCAGGAAAACAAGGATTCAGGAACATGGGAGTTACATTTTAAAGCCGTTGAAGAGAACCCATCAGTGGGAAGGGGGTAATAAAATCAAAGGTGTAGACAGACCTAGGTCTCCTTGGCCCATAGAAGGTCAATCACTGATGCCAGTCCCCTGAGTGAGGAGGGATTTTTCCTAGTTTAATTGCACATACAGTAATACAAGCTCTTTTAGTTATGAATGTTTTATTTATGTTCATACTACATTAATTGTCATTTCATTAAGGAAATAGAGAGTAATCAGTAGGAGCACTGACTTTGGAGTCAGACTTCTTGGTTTTGAAGCCTGGCTCTGCCCCATTTAGTTATGTGACCTCAGCTCAAGCTTCCCCATCTCTCTATGTCTCACTTTCCCCATCTGTAAAATAGGATCATAATAGCACACATCTCCTTGGGTTATCGTGAGGATTAAATTAATTAAAATATCCAATGCATTTAGATAATATTGGTGTTGTTTATATTTATCCCTTTTGATTATGCTTCAATTTAGGAAGCTAAGCATAATATTGTTTAGCACGATACCTGGGTGTGCAAGGACCTTGCTATCCTTGTTCACTACTTTGACATCTAGGCTGAGAATGACAATTTGCTTGAATCTACCTGTATGTAATGACTGGATGCAAAAGGGGCTGAGGTATAACCATTTTTTTGAAACTTAAAGAGGGATGACAACAATTGCACAATTACAGTTTCACCATTAATCACTAAAATATGTCAGCAGTCTCAGGCTACCTGAAGATTAGAATGATAAAGGTGTTACTTAAAATAACAGAAGCTCTATCAGGAGAGGTACTGTGTCTATCCTGATTGCTCTTGTAGCTCAGCATCAAGTTCAGTGTAGAAGCTCAGCAAAGACTTGTTAAAAGAATAAATACATGTGTATTTTCACCAGCGTACCCAAACTTAGAAACCCAAGGGTCACCATTAACAGTTAGGCCTGGCCCAACTGATGTCAGAATGACCTTCAGATCCAGATTCAAAATATAAGACAGAACCAGTCACATTTAGAACAAGAAAATCTCTAATGCTGGAGTGCTGTCACCTGACTTTCATCATTAACCTTATTGAACGCGCTTGGATTATTATAATCAAATGGTCATTTTTTTAAAAAGTAAGTTGCCCCTCAAATATAAGAACTGGTCCACTGGTCCATTAGTTTAAACACATTTAAACTAATGTGTTTGGAGTGGTGAAGGGCCTCTTCTAAACTAGGTCTCAGACAGCTGCAATTTTAACACTGGGGACGTGGGAACAGACTTCCAAAGCAGCCATTTGAAAGGGTGAAGGTGCGGACACTCCTTTGGATGTGCAATTTCTAGAATGTTTGTTAGGAGGTCATTCATGCTATCGTTATGCCTTTCACATTGCATCTGTGAAAGAATTTTAGTCTAAAATAGAACCAGAGGATATGAAATAGAAAATTTCATGCACGTGCCCTCAGGAGAACAAAACGCAAGGACTGAGAGACTGACTTACAGAAAACTGATAATATTGGAATTTTCTTAGACAATAGGAAGCTAGTCAGGGGTTGCCTCATTTCAACCTTGGGAAATTTCGCTTATGGTTTCCAGAGGCATGCACAAGGAATGACCCAGGTTGGGTTGGTCCCAGAAAATAAGCTGAATTGAACTTTGTATGTAGCAGACTGTTTTTGTCTGCTCAGGGAATTTTCAAAGCTGGTCTCTATTTGTTTTGATGTTAACAGACTAAACTCTACTCTCTACCTGCCCTGCCCATAAATACAGCCTACTCCAAACCCTCAACGGACCTGCCTGTAGCTTGCTACAGTTGGCATGTCCTGAATCTTTCTGACAATTTTGAGCTTACCTCATTTTACCTTTTCATTGAGTTGATACATTTCTGAGAAGAACAAATGAAAAAAGGTGTGAATTTAGAGTGAATGAGTGAATCACTGCAAAGCTCTGAAAATCTCTGGAACTCTTGAGAAAATATGTGTGAATATTGGTAAATTGAACTTTTTTTCAGTGGGTACATTATCCAGCTGGAATTATCTTTTAAAATCCATCCTATGCATTATGTGAGAGAGAACAATTTTACTTCCGGTTGAGTTTCCTGTTTCATGATTTAAATGATTTATGAATGAAGGCTCTATGTTCAGACATATTGGCCCTTGGCAGGTTGGTGGTCCGATCCATTCTCAGGAATTAGATGATGAATTCAATTTTCAGGCCAAAAAGAAATTACCATTTAGCATCAACTAATATGACAATTTAAAAATGGAATTGACCTCAAAATGTTTAGTCTAGTGTTCAGTATGGACAAAGATACAATAGTTATTCTCTAGAGCCAATGGTCCACTTTGAGTGCAGCAGACTCACCTGGACATCTGACTCAGTAGGTATGGGTAGGGCTGGAGAATTTGCATTTCTAACAGGTTCCCAGGTGCTGCTCGTTCAGAGATCACACTGTGAGCAGCACTGCTCTTTAAAACAAGAAAAAGAAAAAAAGAAAAAGCTATATTTTAGTTGAGCTTAACGTTATCAAACAGATATAAATTATATCAACATTTTTCAGGCAGGAAATTTGAACTGGGGTTACATTTACATATAGACTAAGGGGTATGGAATATGTAATATTCACATCCCAAATCTTGAATATCAGGTAGCAAAATTAACAATTATACCCCCAAACTCTTGCTTAATAACCAGAAATTCCTGTTGATTGAACATAAAGATAGAGTACATTTCAAATGAGGCCTTCTGGACATTTCAAGTTATTGGTAAAGAAGAGTTCACTTTTAATAAAATAAATGAGCAGTAGTAAACATAAGCAATGAAATCATGCTTAAATCATGATAATTTGCCTGTGCACTGAGAGAATTTAAAAGACTTCTAGGCTAGTCCTTGTGTCTAGAAATCCACAAACTAATGAAAGGAACGTGTTCCAAACACATAGAACAAACAGCAACAGTAAGAAGCAATGCATTATTGGGTCCATAGTGGGTGGTACTGAGAGTCTGCTTTACAGAATTATACAGAGGGAGGCAGATACTGGGGGCTCAAGTGGCCAGGCTTCATGGAGGACCTGACATGGGCTTTCACCCAGTACTACTCACCAGTGATGCCAAGTAAAACCAAGTATTGAGAAGACCCTGCCTATGCAATTTCTTCTGCCTCAACATTTCCTGTGAGGAACGTTCCCAAAGCAATGAAGCAAGTTAATTAAGATCCCAGCTGCTGCCACAATTTCTGAGCAGACGACTAGCACCGCACAAGATTTTGGAGTAACTAGCTGGTGTTTGTTCCTGCCTGCAAAAGCTGTGTTTGTACACCTGGGGCAGAGTCCAAAAGGACTGTAAGAAATTAATTAGATCAGTTTGCCAAGCCCTTGTCATCTGGGCCCAGGACCAGGGAACAGGATAAACGCAATGAATACAAATCTGTACCCATATGTAAAAAGATGATGGTTATGATTAGGACTAATATAATGATCCATTTTCACTTTATCAAAGCTTTGATGAATAAATTATTAGCTACAAATAGAACACGGGTCAGGAATTTTATGATGGAATGCGAGAGATGGGAAATGTTTATCCAGGTATCAGTGGTTCTCTAGCCATAGCCCAGTGTCTCAATAATCACTTGTGATGTTTACAAGCAATAGAGATTCCAGGCTCTCATCCCTGAGTCTGATTCAGAGTATATGGAATGTGTCCTGGAAAACTGTTATCTTTTAATCAGTTCACCTAGTGATTTGGTTTCACAGCCATGTTTGGAAAACATTGGTCAAAATACGCACACAAGATGCGTATGCAACACTATGCCACGCACGGAAAGTGCTGAGAAGACTTGTAGGCTAGTTTTTGTCTAGAAGCCCACAACCTGGTGAAATGAACATGATCCAGACATATCGGGTGATCAGCAACAGTCTTAAGCAATACGTTACTGGGGCTATATTGGGTGCTACTGAGTCTGTTTCAGGGCAGGGAGAGAGGAGCAGACCATTAAGCTGGAGGTGACCCATTCATTTCCTGGATATCACAGTCAAAGTGGATTGGGGGTCTTTAACTTTTGCTGCAGCATGGCATAGCGGAAGAGTTACCAGGCTTAGTCTTCTTGGTAGGAATTTTTAATACTCAGAGTGCCTAGGGGAGTGTCTGACACAGAGAGGGAGCTCAGTACAGATGTAAACAATCATTTGCAAAGCCAGCCTAGTCAGTCATCCAGCATCGCCAGGAGACCCGATGACGTCAGCTCATACAAGTGATGTGCACAGTTCAAATGCTTTATCAAAACACAGACGGGGTTGTCACTGATATCGTCATTTATATTTTACTTTTTAGCTAATTAGTTCTCTCTGGCCACCACAAATGGCATACTCAATTGGCGTCATTGTGCTATAAGCTGGTATACAGAGAGACTAATACACTGTTATCAGTTTAACATAAAATTCTATATCCTGTGTGACCAGACAGCGAGAAGTTCCCCACTGAAATGTAATGAATCGGATGCCTCTTACCTGCACCTTAGCCGCTGCTGTGGACCCAGAGCCGAAGAGGTGAGAGCACATCATCATGGGGTCACTCTGTCCTCTCTGCTCACACCTCTTTACTGCACCTACCTCACCAGATACTTGTAATGAAGTTACAGCTGTAATCTGTACCTTCCTTCATGTAATCTGTGGCTCAGTGTTGGAGGCATACATACTCTGAGTGTGCGGGTGGGAGGCACCCTGAGGGCACAGCACATCTATTACCCTGGAGCATGAGAAACAGGGAAACAAATGATAACAGCAAAATGTTAATGCCGCAAATGAGCTGCAAATGATGATGTAGCACTTGGAGCATTCCAGCTCATCTTGTGATGAGGCCGGGCCTATTGTTACCTTGATATATAAATGTGCCTTAGAGAAGTCTTGCAGGGATGTTTGTCTCTCAGTGATAGAAAGAACTCATTAGCATATGGAGCGTTCTCTGGTGACAATTACCTGAGGATGCATGTGGACCACCTTTGTGCAGACATTGCAGTGTAACTGTGCTTACGGGGGTATTTTGACAAATAAGGGGAACCTATTATTTTTATCCATGTACAATATAGCAAATCAATTGGACAATTAGTAGTAATAACTTGAATGTACGTAACGAGGCATCTTGCATCCCAAAGTACTATACCAACAAAATAAGGGCACTAATGGTCCACTAGCGAGAGATGGAGCCATTCTCTTCACTATTTCCAGGTGGCAGAAAGAGAATGGCATAACCAGATGCAAGGGAAGAATTCACCAATGGAGAATGAGCTAGAAGCCATAACTGGCTCCATACGTGGCTGCTTGATTGCTACCAAGAAAGGAAACCCCATGTTCCATTTGTTGATCACAGAAAGCAATTGACATCACTAGATAGATTAGATATAACTTTAATTATAGCAAGATAATGGAGCTGAAGCTAATACCAGACTCAATTTCTGTGCCTCTATATTTAAAATGGAATATTTATGGATTTGGGGGGCTGGATAGGAAGGAGGAGACCGCGAGGATCAGAGAGAGAGGGTCTTCATTTTCATACTAAAACGTCTTTCTCCTCACAAGGGAGCCTAATCAGACATCTTGGTTGCACGTCACCATGTGATTGTCAGCACTCCCATGCTGTGATTGGAATAGCTCTTCCGGTCCCCGTGTTCTTGAGTAGGCCCTGTCTCATGCCTCCTTCCATCCTGCTGCAGCACATAAACACAGAACTGTTAACAAAGGCAGTTAGTATACATCCCCATTCTGGACAGACGCTCCTAAGTGTTAGCGTTGAAATATATAACTCATAGCACTCTGGACTTTGATAAGTTTCGAGAAGATAATTTTCAAATGATTGAATAACATGGTAATATCTTCTTTCACTATAGATTTATTCATATAAAGTACCTGAGTATTATAAATAGTCGGCTAGTTTTCCCTAAGCAGGGGAGGAATAAAAAACCATCATTAGCACCCCCTTGATAGCACAGCAATAAAGTCCTTTATACTCATACTGTGCCAGAGCATATGGGGGAAAGAGAGCTAGACTTCTGAAGATCCTTATCTTAGGCAAAGACTCTTCTTTGATAGACTCTTTCCTAGAGGACCTCTAGGAAATAATTACTATCCTCAACTTTAGGCATAAATTTCTTTATTTGCGTTCTATGACTTCCTTATTCTATATAAATGTTATCTGACTCTGGTTGATGTTACATTTTCTAAACTATCCATTTGACACTTTTTTGAAATTTATTTATTTTTTTATACAGCAGGTTCTTATTAGTTATCTATTTTATACATATTAGTGTATATATGTCAATCCCAATCTCCCAATTCATCCCATCCATTTGGCACTTTTTTTTGCCCATCTAAAAATTATAAATTTTCTCCCTGCTTTAAAAAAAATCTGCTCAATGTATATTAACTTTTGCAGGTTTATTGAAATAATTTTTCTAAAATATTGCTTCTACAATGTCATTTACCCATTATAAAGATTCTCAGGATTTTCTGTTGCCTCCCAAATAGAATCCAGATATGCCTTTCTGGATTCCAAAATCTTCTCCAGACTGATGCCAATTCCTCTTCCTAGAATTTTGTTGCCAGTATCTCTGAGGACACACACATCATTCTAATTAGACTGATTCATTATCATCCCCAGAAATCTCCACTTGCATTCTGGTCT